ACCTCGATCCAAATCTGGCAAGCGAACATATAGCGACGCAGCCACTCGTGCTTCCCCCGTTCAGGAGTCGTCATTGCCTGCCTTCGGCACAATGACGGTCAGTGACATAATAAGTCTAGTTTTTTCTGTCGTGCGAAACTTCATTTCAGAACTGCCATCGTGCACTTTTAAGAGCATAGTTGAGGGAGTTTTGGTTTTTGAGCCTGCAATCGTAGCACTGATTGGGAGCTCGCGTCAGTCTAATGGCTGATGTTCTCTCTTTCGAGAATTATGTAAAACAAGCTACAGTCTTCCAGCGGAATGCTAGAGGGCTACGTTCTCGTGTTTCTGACTCCAGGTAGTTTATTTTCAAATATAAGTTCCCAATTTTAGCAGTTAGCGAGTCACGTGTCCCGCCAGATTTTAGACTTTCTGAATATCAAGTTTTTCAATCAAATCGAGACTCTGGCACTAGTCGGGTATTTATTGCTGTACGAAAAGGTCTAACATACGTGTCGCATAACATTTCATCACATCCGAGTAATGAGTATGTCAGCGTCACTGTTAGTAAGGGGAAACATTCACTCACTGTAATCGCCGCATACGTTGCTGCGTCATGTTCTTTTGATGTTGACAGATTGAGTTCTATCATCAGACAGTGTCCTCCCCCAATTTTAGTGACGGGTGACTTTAATGCTCATCATGCAGCTTGGGGTAGTGCGAGAACAACACGCCGTGGAAGGGAACTACTAGAATTAGTGGATGATTACGAACTTTTTGTACTAAATGACGGGACACCGACATTTGTTCGTGGCACACGTTCCAGTAGCTGTCTAGACGTCTCATTTATTTCTTGTGACCTCGTGTCCCGGACGTCCTGGTTTACGGACGTTGAGACCCACGGTAGCGACCACACACCTACCTACATCACAGTACCCGGTATACAGCCCGGAATCAACCGCAATTGTGTTTCGTACGTTGACTGGACGTGCTTTAAGGATAACGTGGAGTCTAAGTTACAAACCAATGGGACATATGATCCGTTCATTTCCACCATTCAGCAGTCAGTAACTGAGTCCAAGCGGTCCGTCCATCTTCCTTCTTCGCGTACATTCATAGATGCAGAGTATGAACGCCTCCGTGCAATCCGGCGGCGTGCAGAACGGTGAGCAAGGCGCACTAAGCTACGTGAAGATATTCGGGTTGATAGACGAACTCAAAGACATATCCGCCGTCACTTGGACAAGCTAGGTCGAAAAAAGTGGAGAGGCCTTTGTGCTTCTTTCGATCCTCGTGCTCCTCTGACGCGATTATGGCACATCGCGCGTGGCCTGCGATTTCCACCACAACAAAGAACACCATTCAATGCCCTCGCAATCTTTTTGCGCAGGTCAATTCTAGAAATTGCAGAAGACTTCTGCGCTTCTTTAGTAAGTTTGCCTGCTGTGACCAGCGTCAGTCCGGCAAACGCAAACCTTGCAAATTCACCTGACCGATATCCAAGCGAGATGGATTATACCTTTACCGCCCAGGAACTGGAGCAAGTTCTGGCGTCACTAAACTACTCTTCTTCACCTGGACCAGATGGAATCACCAATGGCACGCTTGCACACTTTGGACATAAAGGCTGTCAGTACCTTTTATAGGAGCGGTGCTTCTACAGCCGTATTGCGCAAGAGATCCTTGATCACACGCACATTATACCGACATCTTATCAACATCACAATCTTCTCTCTACACCTCCATGGTCATTACCACCTATCAAAATATATATTACTATTCCGGGAATTACCAAGAAATCAATGCTACCCAATGTTGCCCTTCGACAGCTATCTTTGTCTTACATCCATTTTGAACACTGCTCTTCATGTCACATATACACTGATGCCTCCACAACACACAACCAGTCATCCATTGGTATAGTAGTTCCCGCGCACTCCATAAAAGTTGGTCACAACCTCTCTCACAGGATGTCGTCGACAGCAGTCGAGCTTGTAGCTATACGTGAAGCCCTAAGATACATCCTCACAATACCGGCTCGTTCTTGGACAATAATCACCGACTCAAAAACATCCCTACAATCGCTCCAGCGCCCATATAAGAAAAGTCCAAATGGTCAACTATTATTAGACATCCTTAAGCTACATTGGGACGCAGTTTGTGCAGGTCACTCATTATGCATCCAGTAGGTCCCCAGTCATTGCGGCGTTCCAGGCAACGAAATAGCCGATGCTGTGGCAACAAATGCTCAAAACTTTATTCACGAGATACAAGCCCCATTTACTAGATCAGACACAAAAAGAATAGTAAACATGCTGGGGAAGGCTACAGCCACACGCCTCTAGGATGACGCCTCTGATCAATGCACACACTTACGAGCTATCGACCCTCACCTAATGTTTTGTGTACCTCGCGGTCTCACTCGAAGACGCCAAGTTGTGCTCCATCAAATACGTCTAAAGGTGGCATACACTAAACAATACTTATACCGCATAAGAAGAATTAATTCACCAGAATGCTCTAACTGCAGAATTACGGAAGATTTAGGACACGTCTTGCTGGTCTGTTCTCAGTATGAAGATGAACGGAAACAACTGAAAGAGGAGATCCAGCTGCCTCTCGGAGAAGAACTTGGCCTACGCAAACTGCTGGGTCCATGGAAAAATGAAGCCTCCGCCACAACGGCTACAACCGCTCTCCTGCGATACCTGTCAACTACAGGTCTCTACAAGAAACTCTAATACTGATACATGTTCTTTTTAATGCAATTTTTTTTTATTTAGTCTCCTTTTATTTTTGTGTGCCTTCAGCTCTTCCTTTCTCTATTTATCCTCATTCCCCATCCTCACCAGAGTAGCCAGTCAGGAGATACCTCCCGGCTAATCTCTCTGGCTTCATTATCTACATCAATAAAAAAAAAAAAAAATGAGAGCTGTACGCTGTGCTGGTTTCGAGACGGTACTGTGTACGTCCCTTTTCGTTGCCTTGTCTCAAGGTTTTATTTCTTAATTATGACTAAAAATAGAACCGAATTATCATCACCAATTACGTCTTCGTCCATCGCTGGATTTTTTTCCGATATGCTACTCACTTTTCCTTCAGTGGTGCTTGACGTGCTTGCGGGAGCGCCGGCAGTATCCATCGTTCGTGGTTTCGGTTTTTTTCGGATTTGGCTCGGCTACAACACTGGCAGTGAAGCGCAACTTTTTTTAGATGGGCGCGTCCTTTTCGGATTCGTTGAGACGGCGCAACCATTTCGCGAAACTACTTTTCGCGACACTAGATGCGCGAGAAAAATGCATCGTGTGAACGGGTCTTAAGGGCTCATTCACAATAGAAGCGGATCCGCGTTCGCAAAGCGGTTGCGAACACGGTTGTATAAGGATTCAATACAATTGCACGCGCATTTGATGACATCAAATGCGCGTGCGATTGCACTGGATCTTTATACAACCGCTTTCGCAACCGCTTCGCGAACGCGGATCCGCTTCCAGTGTAAATGGGGGGTAAGAGAGGTTCCCGAAGATCCAGAAAGCGCAATAATGGCGTAAAAAAAAAAAAAAAAAAAAAAAAAAAAAAAACATTTTTTTTTTGTCGAACATGAATTGTGTGGTATGTAGCGCCACCGAGCCTAGCTACTTGCAATTAATGTGCTTGACCCTGCCATCTGGTGGCAAGCGATTTTACCTCCTTTTAAGCTACGCGGCTACGCCAACCTTGGCTACGCCATAATTTTGTGTTACGTGCTGAAATGAGCCAATAGGCTGCTTTGGATTTGCTTTTTTTGAGAGCGGCTTTTGGTTTTGCGGGCGAATGGTTTACCACTCCTCCGTCATGTGCGGTTCACGCAACGGTTGACGAAGGAATTGTGGTTCGAGGAATAGCAAAGGTAAGACATAAAGTGCACGAACTGGGTGCCGGTTGTCTCCCTTTAACATCGTAGTGTTGACGATTAGAAGTCTGTGTGTCTGCATGCTTTCGAAACGTAAGTTTCTTTACCTGCAGGGGGAAGCCGGCTTCGAAAATAAATACAGTTCGCGGAAAGCTCATGTTACGTTTTCATTTGCTGCTCCTCTCGCTCCGTACAATAGACTTAAGGTTCTCGTTAAGCCTTATCGAGCTCGATTTGGTCGATTCGTGGCCGCCATAATGCGATGCAGGCGACGGAGGAACTTTTGCTCCGTTGCTTTAGGGACAAAAGTTTCTTCCTTTCGGAAGGAACATATATGTCAAGAACGTTTTTTCTTTAGGGAGGACTATACAGAATCTTTTTTCTAAGAGTGCGAAGCGCAATCACCAAGCTCATCTTAGTCAGTGCTATTTGCGAACGTAAACTAAACATACAGAGCGCTCCGTGCCAAGGGTAACGATGACGCAGGGCGACGCTGCTGAGAGGACAAGGCCGGCTGATTTTTCGGTGTCACCTAAAGAAGGCCAACAAGGGGCAAAGATCGGACACCACTGCAACGTCATGGCTTTCTTGGTATTCGTCTTCTCGCTGATTGGTCACGAGGAACAGCCGAACGCAGACGAACCACTCGTGTCCAATATGGGCACGAATGACTTGGTCTTCTTTAGGCGACGCCGAAACCCGAACTTTTAAATAGGGTTCAAGATGTTCTCGTCAAAAGCAGATGTTCGCGTTCCATGGATCCACGAGTAACAATTCAGTTCAGCTGAATGTTTGTTTTTATGTCGGTACCAAGAGCCGGAAGGAAGGCCTTTGTGGTAAAAAAAGAAGGAACAAACTAGGAGGTACATACTCGCCAGAAATATACATCCTTAAAAGTCATGCACAGGCTTCAAACCTTGTTTAAAATTCAATTACATATTTAAAGAAAGGGCAAATATTTTTTTATAAAAAATCCATTCAAGGGAGAGGGTCGTGCTAGCGATCGCGACGTGCACTTCGCGTTTTCGGCGTAAACACGTCGAGCCCACAATTTCCGGAGAAGATGAATTCAGCACGTTTTGTCATCAAGGGGGCGTCGCACAGAGTCAATTTTTGTGCCTTGTTCTTTTTATTCGACGTCTTGCAGATGGGACGGGGGAGCCGATGTCACGACGGTTTTCGGTATTGTGTCCGTGGATCCGCAATCTCCTCTCAGGTGATCCATGATTTCCGCCAGGACAACAGGACCTGAACAGGTCCCGCACGTGACCCGATGATGAAGGCATTCACAGTAATGTTCCTCCAGGAACTTGAGGGCCGTTCCAGCTTTCTTGGACGCGGTTGGCGGCGCTGCTACATATTGACAACCATGAGGAGCGTTGGGGCAGCGAATCCTGTTGTTGGTCACCGTCTGGTGCGCCCATGGGATGGAGAGCGCAGGTTTGCCTGCTACTAGTTTCTGGGTGTCCAGGGGACATCTCGGCGGCTTCTGGTCCATCCCGCGATTGCAGCAGAATGAACAGTAGACGTGCTCGCACCCTAGTTTCACCGGCGACTTTGACACCAGGCCGCACACGTCACAGATGAGGTCGCCGTGGATCGGGTGCAGAAACTCTAGTGGCCTCCAGTCCAATATGTTCGAGAAGCCGCTCAGCATTCTTGTTTCCAACGTGTTTGGCAGTTTCTTCGCCATCTTCCGACAGTCTATATACTGGACGGGAGGATGGGAGAAGATTTTGCATTGTATTAGACAGTAGTGTTTGTAACCTATCTACAGTGCTGGTTGGATAGCCGTATCTTATGTAATTACTATTGCCAATGAAGTAATATTAATATTCTTATTTCCAGCAGTTACGTTTACAGCTTTCATCCTTGATTTCATGTCGATGGAGGTGCGTCAGTATGGAATACTCTGAAACGGCGAGAATAGCGGACTAAATAAAACAGAGTTGGAAGAACGCACAAAGAGCCCACGCGCCATGTATGTACGTTTTTTTTTTTTCTGTGGTGTATTTCGTGCGCTATCTTCGCCTTTTTGGACCAAATCAACCAGCTATACTCCATTTCACCTTATGTTGTACCGCAGCGGAGGTTAGAACCGCGAGCTCATAGCATTGGCAGCTGCCCTTACTGCACGAGAGCTTCTGCCGCCGAGATGTGCCCTGAGCAAGAAGCTCGTGCTTGTAGCCTTTCCTGCGGTACATCATAAGGTGAAACAGAGTATAGACCAAGCATGCTTCACTCGTGTAGAATGAAGCTAGCGAAAGTTTAATTGTAGTGAAACAATTAAAGGATAATATATTATGCCGAACAATGTCGAGAGTATAAACGCCGACATATTGATGTCGAAATTAGCCTCCGGAGAAAGGGAACAAGGGGGCAAAGGGCAAACGCAAATCTCCAAGCACTGCTAGGTGACTGGTGCGCGACCAAAAAAATCCCCCTGGTTCTGGTAAAAATCGGCTGGGTCGCGCGCAGTCACCTAGCTCTGTTTGGAGATTTGCGTCTGTCCTATGTCCCCCTTTTCCCCCTTGTCCAAGGATTATTTTCGTCATTCTTGTCCAGCTCGCATGCACCTTTGCATTTAACTGCATTGACAGACACAATGATGGTGGCACCAACTGCACAGCGACCCTTCGGTAAAAAAACACAAGACAGTTTCACTTATTAGGCTGCAACATCCTGCAGCGCAGTCCACGGTGGAGTGCTAATCACACCTCTCTGCAACGCGGGAGGGCACTACTTTCTCCGGCGGGGGCTCGACTGGTGGCATTCGCGGTAACCAATCTAATCACGTGGTGCAACAAGGAACAACCCGCTGGAGGGTTGTGCTGCCCGCTTCATAGGGAGCCGCCGGTACACACCACTCCGGCTTGATAAGAGTTATGATGAATTTAAAGAGCACAGCAATGCACCCTTCTTTTTTTCTTTATAATGGCATTGTTGATAAACCCTCTGGCTTTATTAACGTGATAACGTTTAGGGGCTCGCGTCGCAGAAAATCCGGCTTCGGTGTCGGCGTCGGTAGGACAAAAAGAAAAATGAAAATAAATAAAAGCTTTCAGCACGTGTGACGTCATGAACCTATCGACCCGCTAAACTTGGCAGAAAAATTGACCGCCAAATTTAGCCGAAATAGTTTACGTCAAATCTAGCGGAAAATTTCCCCGGAAAATTTGGCGGACAATTTCCCCGCAAAATGGAGCCAAAAATAATCCCGACAAATTTAGTGGAAAATCTTCCACTACATTTAGCGGTTCGATAAGGTCATGACGTCACAGCCACGTTTGCCGTCATGCGTCAAGTGACATAACGTCATACGTAACATCATGTGACGTCGGGTGAGACGTGACGCTACCGACTATACTCTGTTTTACCTTGTGTTCTACCGCACAAAAGGCTACAAGCATGAGCTCCTTGCTCTAGGGCAGATCTCGGCGGCACAAGCTCTCGTGCATTAAGGGCAGCTGTTAACGCTATGAGCTCGCGCTTCCAGCCTTCGCTCCGGTACAACATAAGGTGAAACGGAGTATAGACCACACACACACGCTTGCACGGCTGGGGAACGAGCACGGGTTTAAATGAGAAGGCTTTGCGAACGTGGTCCGATAACGCTATCCCTTTCCACTCTTAAAGGGGAGATGCAAAGATTTTCCCACTTTGCACAAATACCTCTTAGAACGAATACCTGACGTTAATGACCTATGAAACACGGGTTCGTTTTTCACCCCACACAAAAAATGTTCCAGAAAAAAATTGGTAAAAAATGAGCAGCGTTCACTTTATCAACTCGCAGCCAGAACACGCGGCCACGTAATCTAGAGCCGAATATATGCCGCCAATGTCGATCATATCCACGCGCTGGGGGTTGCAAGGAACAGGACACGCGCTGAGGTCCAGGCATTGTTATGGTTCGGCTATTGTCGTGATTCCAGCGAATGGACATGGGCCACTACCCGAATGCTTCTCGAGCTATCGATTATTACGAGCCGAAATCGCGTTCCCACGCACTGCTCGGGTTCAATGAAGGGGTTGGTTCGATCTATGAGCCGCATTCAAATATCGTCACTGCGACAGCGCAGTTCCGTCACCAAGTTTGGCGAAGGAGAGACGGAATGAAAACGCTTCCTTTTGTCCTTGAAACTGAACCGCAACAAAGGAGTTTCGTGGCCAGTGGTGTTGCGTGCAAGTATCTTGGAGTCCCGCTAGTGCCATTAAGTTCGTGTAAAGTGAAAAACATGCGAATTGAATATCGCTGAAACGCGTTTTTGAAGGCGAAGCTTAAGCGTCCCCAAGTTCTTTTGTTTTCTATTTATAGGGTTTTATTATTTTTGTGAAGTGCGTGATAGCAACATCCCGCGTTCAGCGCCCCCGTTACCGCCCATTCACACTGGAAGCGGATCCGCGTTCGCAAAGCGGTTACGAACGCGGTTTTATAAAGATTCAGTACAATTGCACGCGCACTTGGTGGTCGAGTGCGCGTGCAATTGTACTAAATATTTAAACAACCGCGTTCGCTACCGCTTTGCGATCGCGAATCCGCTTCCAGTGTGAATGAGCGGTAAGAGCGGGCAAGACGCCCCTGAGTGGGTTATTCTATGGTTCCTCGCGTGACTAGGTTCGTTGCCGCGAATGCCACCAGTCGAGCGCACACGTGTGATTAGCAGCAACTCCCTATTAGGGAGTTTTAGTAGACCGTATTTCCCGCTCCGCTAGCCCTCCGCTACGAAGAAACCGCCACTGCGCCTGCGCGCCGATGGCCTTGGCTGTAGAGTTCCGGGTAACGGAGGGGCTTAGCGGGGCGGGAAACACGGTCTACTGAAACTCGCTAATAGGGAGTTTTCGTAGACCGCGCTGACCCCTCCGCTAAGCGTTCCGCAACGAAGAAGTTGCTACTGCGCCTGCGCGCCAATGGCCTTGACTGTGGAGTTCCCGCTATCGTAGCGGGTTGCGGAGGGCCTTGCGGGACGGCGAAGACGATCTACGAAAACTCCCTAATAACACTATGCGAGCGAGCGGCTGCCCCCCCCCCCCCCTCCCCCCCCCATCCCCCTTCCCTCCGAGGAGTGCTTGACTGGTGGCTTGCGATAAAACTGGAGCTGGCGTCACGGACTGGTTCATGTGAAGCAGACGGGGGGAGCCTATCAAAACAAACACTGTGCAGTTATCCCTTCTTTGCCACCGTCGTGGAAATCAAAGGAGGGACAGGATCTGCGAAAAGACAAGCGCGGCTGTACTATCGGAAACAATATGAGCGTGAACGCGCCTCCGCGTGTCGCCGCTACCTGAGGCGTTGTGTACCTGAGGCGCCGTTGTGAAGTTTTGCGCAAGCGTGTAGAAATCCTGTCGCTGTTCTCGTTTTGACTGTTAACCCCCGTCTGTCGTCTGCTACGCGCGCGCTGGCGGCCGCTCGTGCTGTCGTCTGCTATGCGACTCGTGTGTTTCCATCACAACTGAGACAAACGACTTAACATGATTCACGAGTTTCCTGTGTGATAACGCAATGCCCACATTTGATACGTGATAAGTAGCTGGCTTCTTTCACTGGGTCGAGATACAGCGACAACAGACAAATGGAATAAAGACAAAATAGCTGCAAAGCTTGGCGTTCAACTACGGTGAGCCCGGAAAACATTCAGTTGAGTGAAAAATGGCTAGAGTTCCTGACGACGAACGGCTCAACATAGTTGAGCTGTCCCTCCGAGGCTACTCTCAGAGGGCTATATCCAGCATGGCTGGAAAACCGCTGAAAACGGTGAACCGGATAATACAAGCATATAGGGACGACGAGAGAAGGATTAAAGATGCACCCCACCCGCGTCGACCACGCGCCACAACAACCGAAGAAGACCACCATATCGTCGCGGCAATTTCACTGGACCCGTTCCAGTCGACACGAGACATCAAGGAAGCTCTCGATCTTGACGTCAGCGAAATGACGATCCGACGAAGGTTTGCTGAGGCGGGGTTGAAGAGCCGAATGTCAGCCCAGAAGCCTCTGCTCACCGACACAAACAAGGCTCAACGGTATCGGTTTGCACAAGACCACCAAGAGTGGACATTCGACCAGTGGAGGACTGTCGTCTTTTCTGACGAATCAACATTTACGACCATGTGGGACCAGAGGCTGCAAGTATGGCGGCCCGACTGCCATCGGTATGAAACACTGACTTTTTTTATTAGAACCAGTCTTCTGTAATGCGCAATCAATTTTATAAAAGTGAAACTGTTAAATATTTTTTCTTACGCAGCTATGACCCTCAGTCCATTCAACATGTCGCAGCCAGTGGTAGGGCCATGGTCAACGTCTAGGGGGCGCTCTCCAAGGATGGGCTTGGGCCACTCTTCAGGATTGAGGGGAGCTTGGCGTCGCAGATTTACTGCGAAGTAGTCGACTACGTCATGCTCCCCTACGTCCTGGACGGTCCCTTTCACGATGGCGACTTCACCAACCAGCACGACCTGTCGCCCGTTCACACCTCTGGGGTGGTTCGTCGCCTCCTTGAGGAACGCTGCGTCACCGAGCTGCCCTGGCCCCCCAAGAGGTGCAGACCTCAACATTATAGAGAATGTCTGGGGGCACATGAAGGCAGCCATGGCGCGGCGTCATCTTCACCAAGCTAGCTGACGAATTGTGGCGCTTCGTCCTGGAAGAATGGGAAAAGCTGCGGAACAAGCGGAATTTTATTTCCG